TTGCTGCTGGGCTCTTAAGGTCAGAGTCCACAACCCTTCGCGAATAGTTTGATATTGCTTTTACTTTTTATTTTGGCTTAATCGGTCGGATAAATTTTATAAATAATTATTAAATTGTGTTACTTAAATTTTAATTTTTTTAGAAGAAATATTGTATTTTTATTTTATCATAAATAGATTATTATTATAATGTAACATAATAAATTAATGAGTAGTATCACATTTAGCTTTTATATTTTAAATATTTTTAAAAATATCTTTATTTAAAAAATTAAAAAAAATTTATTCATAAAATTATAATTATATGTATAATATATTATTAACATAATATTAGATATATATAAATATTGTAGTAATTAGTAAATATAAATTGACCCAATGGTGATGACATTCGAAATCATCTCTAATTCTTGAGTTCATGTCTCAATTTAATCAATTTTATTTTGTATTTTCTGCAATTCATCACAATAGATATAAAATATCTAAAGCATAACATAATATAGGATTTGCTTTAGCGGCAGAGGTGTACCTAAGCCATACTTTAGGTTGTTGGTTTGATTCTCACCTCACCGGCTGCTAATCATTTTCAAGTTATTTATTAACTTTGCAATGTCACCTTATGATTGGAGTAATTTTTTTAAAATTAAACAAATGAAAATTAAAACAAATATTTCTAATAAGGTGGCAACATGTTTTATTATCTAATTTAAGAATAAAATTTATTAAATTAAATTGAAATCATAAACAAATTGATTAAATGTATAAATAATGAGAACTAAATATGTGAATATATTAATTTTATAATTGTCGCATCAACTACTTTGTCAAATGTTAACGGTATGTGACTTAAATGGTAACGTCAATTGATTAAGTGATCAAATTGACAAAATTAAAAGATCAATAATTAAGTGAAAATGAGCAATTCTTAAGTGATTATTAACATAATTTATCAATTTTTGAGATTTTAGAAAATTTTGAATTAAAAATAAAGTAATTTAAGTCTTTTAAATAAAATTTAAAATTATAAGCACAACACTTGTTATATTTAAGTGGTTGATAAATTTGTTAACAATCATGATAAATAACACACCTAAGCAAATAATGAAAAATACGTTAAATATATAATGTCCGAACCGTATTTTGGGTGGGCCAGAATTGGACTTCGACTTGATAAAATTGTTAGAGTCGCAACCGATCATTTATTTTAAGAACAAATGGGTGGATCGGATATTATTCTTACTGATCTGCATCTTACCAAAGATATGTTGGATTCGGGAGTCGCTTACAGTCAATGAAGGGTTAATACCCTTGAACTGCCATGTCGGTACTAATTAATTTCAGTTGTCTTTAATTAGAAATTAAAAGTTTAAATTAAAAGGTAAAAATATGATCCAAATTACTAACATCTAATTGATTTGATCGAAGACCCTTAAAAAGACAGAAATGTTAGATTTGTAGTGAAGTACATAATCAAATTAAGATAGAAGTGTGTAATATAAAATAATAACAAAACAAAAAAAATAATAAAATAAGTAAAAAATAAATAAATAAAATAAAATGGTAACATAATAAAAATAAAACAAAACAAATAAAAAAATAAAGAAAGAAAAAAAAGTAAAGGAAGTAAAATAAAAAAAACAAAAACAAAAAAATAAAAAAGTAAAAGAAATTAAAGAAAAAAGAATAAATAAAAATAATGTGTATATATATATAGGTTTAATAAAACAAATAAAAATAATAATAAATATACATATGAAATACTAGGTAAAAACAAATAAAATAAAAATAAAGTAATATATATATATATATAAACGTATAAATAAATATTAGAAAAAATAATAAAAATAAAGTAAAAATAAAATAAACAATAAATAAGAAATAAGAAAAAAAATAAAAATAAAAAAATGACTAAATTGAAAGAAAATAAAACGGGGGTGAGTTTAAAAGGAAATTCGGGGTAGAATCAAATAAATGGGGCAAAATGAAGATTTAAAAATGGGAGACCAAAAACACAATTCCCCCCTTTGTTTTAAAAACATGGGTCAGAGGGATTATAGACCGAATCACAGGTCGAAAAATGGTTACTATATAAGTTAAAAATCACAAACAAATTTCATTTCTCTCCCATTTCATTTCGATCAAAACTCAAAAAACCCAAATCCTCTCCACAGTTCATTGTGTTCTTCATCAATGAAGAACACGGCGGCCTTAACCCAGATTCCAGTGGCCACCGCCTCGCGGCCACCGTTCATCGGCGGTGGCCCAATTTTTTTTTTTGCATCTTTTGAAAGATCATTTCATCATCTTCTTAACCCCTATTAGTTTACACAAAACAACCCTGCTAGATCTAAGGAAAGAGATCTCGAAAAAGCCCTCCCCATGTTCATCGGTCGTTCGATTTTTGGGGCTTCGAATCAGAGGAAAAAAATAAAAACAAAATGAAGGTTGCATGCAAGTAAAAAGCCGAAGGTAAAAAATACTTTTTTTATTGCGTTCGAACAATACAAGTTTGTTTCGATCTCTTGTGATTTTCTTCGTATGATCTCTTCCCTATTTCGTGTGTCGATTACATTTATTTATAGGTACAAAATACCCTATTTTTAGTTCCGATTTAGAGTCCCACTCGGACTCAAGTGCTTCGATTTAGTTTTATATTCAAACTTGCTGACTTGGTTATTTTTTGTTGCCGAGAAATTCGGGGATGGTTGCTGAATGTGGTTGGAGTGGGGTGCGGTACTGAGGGATCTGGCTAGGGTTTGAAAAGAAACCTTAGTGCTTTGGGCCTGGTTCGGGCCTGAACCGATTCGGGTGCTCTAACGGCTTGATGTTATTGGGTCACCAGTTGTTTTTGAGCTTAGAACTTGTTGTAATATGGGACCTGATACAAAACATGTAAAAATAAAATATGATATAAATAGGGGTGTCATTTTCGGTTTAACCGAATTAACCGACTGAATCGAATTAATTCGTTAATTCAGTCGGCCACCGAATAGTTCGATCGGTTAACGGTTAATAAATTTTTTAGAATTCGGTTAACGGTTAATCGGTTCGAAATCGGTTAATTAACCAAAATTAAATTTTAAATATATATATAAATATGGGCTAAGCCCAAACCATTTTAAAACCCAATTAATAATTTAAGATCCATAATTTTTAAACCAAAATCAATATTAATAATTAAAAAATATATATATATTTTATTTTATAATTATATATTATTTAAATTAATTGTAAATTGTTTATTTGAATTAAAAAATATTCAATTTTATATAATTTAGAAAATTTAAAAAAAAATCGGTTAATTCGAAAGTAGCCGAAATTTATTCGGTTAATATTTTCAAAAAAAAAGTTCGGTTCGATTAACGGTTAAATAAAAAAAGTTCGGTTAATGGTAATTCGGTTCGGTAGGCCACCGTTTTAACCGAATGAACACCCCTAATATACATAAATAATATATAATATAATTCATATATTATAAATATGTAATAAATCGTATAACACAAAATGGAACGAAATGGCATGTCTACATATACATAATCGAAATAAACTTTAAATCCTTAAAATAACTAAAATATAATTTAATAACTATTTTTTAATTAAACCTGATTCAAAATCAGACAAGTAAATATCGAAGTTTTGGGGAAGTTTTACAGTACACACCCTTAATATAAGGTTAAAATAAGGCACTATCGGTTTTGTTATTTTAAATAATAAAATCGGTAAAAATTACCTAAAACATTATTATTTTATACCTAAAACATCAATGTTTTTTTATATTTCTAGTAAAATACCAAATAATAACAAAACCGTAAGAAAATAATAAAATCGGTAGCTCTTTATCAAACCGGTAAAGACTACATTAAGGCTGCCTTTGAGGAATAGCCTAACAACCACTTTTTGGGCTTTGTGTGCTTTTTTCTTCTTATATTTTAGGGTAAATTAAAAATATATTCACCGAATTTTAATTTTTATCTTATTTCATTTGTTATACTTATAAGTTTTCAAATTAATAGTTAAACTTTATACAATTTTTTTCTTTTATCACTCCACTATTAATTTTATAATAGTGTTATGATGTGGCTTAACATATTAATTTTTATTATCCAACATAGTTAAAACCTTTAAAGCTAATCACTCGCAAAAACACAAAATCTCACCTTCCCTCCCCCTCTTCCATCAGGTGTCACCATCTCCGACGAATTAGCTTTAAGCTTCCTAGCAAACATCGTTGAAGCTTCTTTTTTATGTTATCTCTAATCTCCACCTCTTCATCCTCGAGCTCCTCCTCAACTCCAACTGTTGTTCTCCTCCATCTCTCATTTCAACAAAGGTTGCTTCTCATCGGCTGGAAAAAGTTCCCAGTCTAAATTAGCAATCTTAAGGTTACCATTATAGTTTATCGAATGATTTGCGCCCTTGACGTCACGATGCAAAATACCTCGACTATGGCAATGGTCGAGTCTATAGAGTAATGCATGTGACACTTGATTTGCATTAGAATCTCAAAATTTTCATTACTCGAATACCCAAAAACCACAACAACACCTGGCAACGATCTACACACCTCATTCACCATCGATCGTTCATGATCCTTGAAAACCACAACTGTTATCCTTGTCCACCCCTTGTCATTACATTCAATGATATCTCCCTTTGAAGCATGATGTAGTGTTTTTAAACTTTTCAATGACAGCCAACATCAACTTGTTTTCCTCATAATCGAAACCAGACTTTTTGACTCGACTGCTGGTTTGATATCAACCATGCAACGCCGTTCATCTTCACCGTGATATTGTCACTCTCAGGAGAAACACATAACTCCTTGACTTTTAAATTTGGTTACTATCCTCAACATGTAAATTTTGTTGAAAATCAATATATAAAGTTTAGTTATTAAATTAAAACTTTTAATGTATAATGAGTGAAATAGGAGAGATAATAAAATTTAGTGATTAAATTTGTAATTTACCCTATAGTTTAACGAGCTTTAAGCAATGGATGGGCAATTGGGCATTTGGAAATTGGAATTAGGCATTCTTACTTTTCTGTGTCTCAAAGCAAAATAAAAGTTTGAACATTGTTGTGAAAGTTAGAAAGTGAATAAACAAGAGACAAATGGATTCATCGAACCTGGTTCAATCCCTGAGGACGAGCAGCACCGACAAGGTAGCAGCAACCAGGTTGTTTCTGCCTCGCGTCCTGATCGTCCTCCAACTAAGTGAGATCCTGATCTCCCCTTTCCGGTTTTCTGTCTTATATCGCTTCTTTATATTCTCTCTCGTATCTGTATTTCATTCTTTTTGAGCAACTTTGTTTTTCTTGTTTTTTGATCGTTTCTTGCTTGATTTTCATAAATTTTTTGAATTCTAATTTTTCAAGGAAACCGGATTACGAAAAGGAAAATTAACACTGAGCTTAGTCTCGCTTTTATTTTTGGTTGCTTTGACGATTTAGATTTCGAATCTTGGGATTTTGATTTTAGAAAACTTCGCAAAGTATGTAATAAAATATATGCTAGTTGCAACTGTATTAAGGTTATCGATTATTCTTCAAATTTATGAGTTTGTTGGATGCTTATTTACTGATGAATTCGAATTACTGTAGATATTCTGTAAGCTTAATGTTCATGTTTTGTACCTTTCAAATATATTAGTATTATTTTGAATCTCAACTTATAAAATATAGGAAATCGAGTTATTATTTTCCATTTTCTAAAAAATATTATTTGGAATAATCAACTGCAAATATATATTCAAAAAGAATGAAGCACTTTTGAAGAGGAGTCCGAAGCTCAATTTACTAATGATGTGATTAAATCACTCAGCATCAACATGCTATGACAACGCTTTTATGAAATGCTGAAGTCTCCAAATTATTATTATTTTTGTGTTGTTGATAAAGCATGTAATTACTTTTGAGAGGCCAAAAATGAGAAGATATAGGGAGAAATAGTTGATGACTCTTTATTCGACAATGGTATGGAGGCACTTGCATTTGTTGCATGCCATTTCTTCTTCAGTCATGTCTGTTAATTTATTCCTACCCAGTTTTTCATAAGTCAAATGAAAGCATTTTCATTCGTTTTTTCGTAATAGACATGTTTGTGATTAAGTTACTTGTTCATGGATTATTTTGCATCTACCTTTCTTCAACACCGAATGGTGGTTTTGATTACTGCTATCTTACTTGGTATTTATGCGAATGAGTTCAGTTTCTCAGGTCCAAAATGTTACTGAACGCAATACTTCCTTATTTTATGTAATTTTGGATGGAATGAAGAGTGTTCCCCCAATTGGGTATGCCAACTTCTTGAAAATGCGAATCAAAGAAAGAAATCTTCCCGTCTCTGTCCCCGTACCTCCTATACCTCTTCTGAGGCTTCTCTGAATTTTATAAGCTCAAATGTCTTGAGAGAAGATAACACATTTATATAAGTAACAACCAGAGCATTGGCATTCAATATTCCTTTAACCATTTGTCTTTGTTTGTGGCCTTTTAGATGGCACTCGCATTCTACTTAGTGTGAGATGGGAGAGATGAACTATTTTTACTAGATTTTCTTTTTTCTTATGAATTTTTGGTTTTCATTTATATATTTTTTATATTACTTATGTATGTGTTTTATTTTTTAAAATAAACATTTTTCAGGAGTTCTTTAGAGAAATACTCGCCTTTGGATTGGTCGGGCTATTTTGATCGAGGGAAGATGTTTGCATACCAGACTCAAATAATGTTAGTTAGTTGTTTTGGCAGTTCCATGGAAAAATTCCCATTTTCAATACCTATTTACTTCTAATATGCTTTATCATTTAGGTCTTTCATTTATTTATGGCAGGAACAGAAGGACCGGTTGTTTTTTTGTCTACATGGGGTGGCTACTCTGGGTATGTTTGATATTGGTGATATATTCATTTATTTATTTTACTTGTTTGTAATATATGAAGTTTGATCCTGGAAGTGTTGCTTCTTACTTCCAAAATGTTGCTTTAAAAATCAAGTGTTGAAAATGAATATTAATCTATGAAGCAACAACACTAGGGTAACCCCAATGTTCTAGTTTTGTATGCTTGATTTGGATTTGCTGCCGATGAGGTGGGATATGTGCAGGACATGCCAAGAAAATATAATCAACTGGACATGATGAAAACGGGCTTGTGTAGAGATCTTGCGTAGTATTAGTACTATCACTTGTATCCCCCGGCCCCACCCACCCAAATAAATAAATAAAAAATCCTCCTTCCATTCAAGAATTTCTAATGTCAAGCAAGACAAATTTTCTAAAGAAAAATAAGAGAACTTACAAAACCTAAATCTTGTTCATGGACCCTAATACTTACATTTGAATAATTATAATTCACTCAACAAAGTAAACCTAATCTTGAAATTAAGATGAATATTTTTATCATATTGTGCTATAATATCATCAAGATATTACTATTGTATTGCTATGGTACTTTGAATGATAAGTTTTGGTTTCCATTTTCAGTTTTGGCATTCAATTCCTTTGTGTTTGAAACTTGAAAGGATATTGCTCTTGAAAAGACTACCTCGATCAATCAGATTCCTGAGCAACCCTCTTCATTCTTGCTCTTAATCAAATTGAACCATTCCAAAGGAACCTTAGTTTATCATGGTAGACTTGAAACTTATGTGCTGTTATTTGTTCTTCCATTGGGAAATTGAGGAACAGATGATAAAATAAATGGTATAGACGGTGTGAAATTTTATTCTTATTATTTTGGCCTGGAAACTACATAGAATGGCATCCCCCTTTCTTTAAATGTTTGGTGAAAATTTAATTCCATAGAGATTTTCATTTTAACTATTGAAGATCCACCATTTTGCCTGGAAAACTTTTCTAACTAATTACCTTTTAATCACTGCTTTTCCATCTTACGTTAAATATGTAGATACTCGATTTGTCCGGGTTATGTCGGAGCAGACTCGAAGCCATGGCAACCTAACCCGACCCCAAGCCAGTTGAAGGCCCAATTTAAACCCAACAATCTAGCAGGGTATTTACCAGTTCACGTGAGGATTTCCTACACAATTGGAATTTATTTAGCCATGTATGATAACTGGTAAGTTATCAGAAGTACCAATAAGATCGGGTCCATGATTTTGAATAGATAGAAAGAACTGTAAATGAGGTTGGGTCGGTTATTATTAGCAATTAACCTCCAGAAACCAGAAGGACACTAGCATCACAAGGGAGGGAACGAAAAATAGCAGAGAACAACCAGAGAAAGCAACACGAACAGGGAGAAATCAAACCATAAATTCCATCGGCAATCAAAAACAGAAGGAAAAAAGACCAACATAGGTGGTTCTCGGGACTGGAAACCACACGGTGTAAACAAATTTGAAAGAACAATATTGTAATCCCACCATCAAAAATCAGAGAAGCAAAAGAGGTATTTTTTCGAGAAATTATTCCTCAATTGTTTTTGTTTTCTTTCGTTTTTGTGTGTGCTAATACTATTTTGAATTAAATAAAGAGAGTTTGAGATTAAAACATTTGGGTTGTACGAATTTAAATGGAGTCTTGTTGACTCCATTCGTTCTACGTTCGAGCTATGTCAAAAAAAAGAGAGTTGAAATAGATTAGTAAATATAATTGAAACAAGACAAAGTGCAAGGGAAAAGAGAGGGAAATTTACCATTCTTCTTCGTTTTCTTTCGTCATTGGGTTGTCAGTCATTGAGGTGATATACGGCAGTCGAAGGGAGGTTGGCCATCAAGGTGTGGTGGTCGAATGGTGGCCAAACGCTGGCCATGGGTTTAGCGAGAGAGAAGATCGAGAAGAGAGGGAGAGGGAGGGGTTTAGTGTTTGCGGTTGAGGGTTAATCAAATATGAGTTAGGATTTTTATTTAAAATATTATATATGTTAAAGCAAAAAAAAACAGTGTTGCAAATTGACAAGAAATTCCATGTTTTGAGAAAGAAGGGAATTTTGAGTGAGTTCCTTTAGGTTCTTGAATTGTTGATTTTGGTCCTAAAATGGATATTTCGAGCTTTTTTATTTTTGCATTCATAGTTTATGCGTTTTCATTTTAGTCATTTGTTAGGTTATTTAAACTTGCTGTTTTTTTTTACATTTAACGTGTACCTTTTTTTTTTAAAAAAAACTTTCATATTTTCTTTGGTTATTACGTTTGCAAGGCCTGAAGTTCGATTTTTTTTGTGTGATATCCTATTATTTACTCTATTTATACGTGGTCCTTGAATTTTTTATTTATGTTTTAGTCAACGTTTACGTTTTTTTTTATATACGTATGTCTGTAAGGATAGTTTAGGTTTGCTATGAAGGCTTTATATATGCGTGTGATGTATATAATAGATATATATATGTACACGTATAACATGTAAGTAGTTATTTTGCATCTTGTGAATACACGTGTAATGTATAATTATATATGTATGTCATATGAGTATTTTTCATAATAAGTAATAGTCATTTGTACATTATATGTTAATATGCATGGTTATGTTTTTTTAAACATATATATAATTTTGTATGTTACATTGTTGATATTTTTTTTGTTTAATTATTTTTGGCATGACATACTTTTTTGCACAATTTGTATGATATCCTCACGTGCATAACTCGACCTATTACATAATTGGACTAAGGGTAATACCCTTTTAATTTAAAATTGTTTTAAGTGGGCAGTCATAACTGATTTGAGGTCCGCTTTTAATGATTTTAAAATAAAGTGTATCCCATTAGTGACGCCTAAAAAATTGACCATCACTCTAAAATTTGGGAACGAAAGAAAAGGAAATGTTCGTTATTTTAAATTTATCGAAAAGGTTGTTATAAATTTTAAGATCTGGTCTCGATATTTGTAATAATCGAACATTCTTTATCTTTCTAAATGACTAGGTAATTTTAATTTATTAATTTGGGTGTTTTTGAATATTGTAAAATTCACTTTTTTTGTTTACATGATCAAAAATTAAATAAATTCGAATTTGTAAAGTTCTTGCAAGACGTTAATTAATCGATTAGGTACCGATTTAGGGTGTTGTGGGGGTGCTAATCCTTCCCCACACGTAACCGACTCCCGAACTCATTTTTTGGTAACACAGACCTCAATTTGTTGTTTTAATTAAAATTAATTGTTTATTTAAAATGACAAGACACTTTTTGGGTGCCCAATCACACCTTAATCAAAGATTGGTGGCGACTCTTCGAACCATATTTTTCGATCGTAAAGGAAATCCAAAATTTTCGAAACGAGAGGTCTTTTAAATCGCATTTGTTTTTAAATTAAGAAGAGGATAATTAAGAATTAATGTGGTTTTTTAAATCTCACCTTTTAAGAAAAATCGTTTCGACAGCTTAGCGACTCTGCTGGGGATTTTTTTTAGAGAGTCAGGCTGATAGTCGATTAATTAATTGTCTTTGCAATTGGAAATTATAAATTCGTTTTAATTTGGTTTTTGATCCCTTGCTTTGTTTTTAATAAGTTTTGTTTGTATTTTGATTTCTTTAATTTAATTCGATTGACAATTAAATAGTTGTATTGATCTGTTTGCTAATGATTTCAGAATAATTGTGTGTTTTGAGAATTGATTTTGAGTGTTTTTATTGATTGTTTTTCCGTTTTTCCTCACATACTGCACAGTTGCATTATCATAACATGAGCTAAAACCTCGCTCCGTCCTATTTAAGTAGGAGTGAGAGAATATGCCCTCGTGTGGTTTTCACCTCCGCATGGGTAAGTGGATCGCTCCTGGAGCTCACGCCTTATGGTCCTCATGATGGTAATCACCTCCGCATGGACATAAGGAGGTGTGTTCCCTCGAAATTGAACTCGATCCCCTAAAGCCTGTGATGGGCCAGGATTGAGGGTTCGGTATCCCAAGGGGGCACCGGCAAGGACAATTCGAGAACTTATTACTTTAGAACCGAACCCGGCATATAGTAAACATAGAGCCCGAACTTAGGTCGAGTCTAACCCGAACCTTAAGAGTCCCGTGAGGAGGGTACACAAGGAAAAGCTTTTTGAGTTATTTATTTTTGTTTTTCAAATAAATGCATGCGAAATTAGATATCATGCGGTTAGGATTTTTGTGAATAACAAAGTATGGGGTAGATATCATGTTGTGTAGAATCTACAAAAGCATGATTGGGTAGCCAACATGTAAGGGTAGGTTTTATTTAATGATTATGATATTTATTATTTTGTTGCTGATATATGTGTACTAGCCCATTTTTGTTCTATGTCTATTTATTTGATTTTATTGCATTCGCATTTTCATGTCATCACAAGGTGTTAATTCGCAAGTGATTGACTAATAAGAAGGCTGGACATATTGAGACAAGAAATTCTCAACCATGTAGTCAAAACTGGGAGGTCCAAAGATGTTAAAATGATCCATGAAGAATGACATCCGATGAATGAATAATTCTCAAGCTGATTGTAGATTTCCTTTAATGGGGCAAAGGCCAAGATGTTGACTCAAGAGATAGATACAATCATACTATGGATAAGAAGACCCTTCACAAAGACATGAAGACCACTTTGTATTGAAAGTAAACATAGAGACCACACGATTCAATTTAAGGACATCTGACGTCATCAAAGGTGATAAAATATGCCGACAACTTTGGGTACAATATTAAATTCTATGAAGAGTACGACTCAAGGAAATGAAGAATCACATTTATATTTTAACTACATGGTGTTCTGAATTCTTGTTGTCTAAATGAAGGTTGTTCTATGGTGGTCACTTTTGGAATCAACACCTTGTACAGCATTAATTTATTATTTTGCTATTGTTGCTTTTTGTCATTTCGTTATCTCTTGTACTAACGTTTTCTATGTTTTTTTTCTCTTTGTCCGCATTGCATGATCATATATTCAAAGGTGTTGA